TTGGTGTGGCTCAGTGGATAGAGCATCGGTCTGCAGACTGAAAGGTCCCAGGTTCGATTCCGGTCAAGGGCATGTATCTTGGTTGCGGGCACATCCCCAGTAGGGGGTGTGCAGGAGGCAGCTGGTTGATGTATCTCTCTCATCGATGTTTCTAGCTCTCTATCCCTCTCCCTTCCTCTCTGTGAAAAATTAATAAAATGTATTTTTAAAAAATAATAAAAATAAAAATAAAATAAAATAAAAATATATATATATATTAGAAAGAAAGAGAGAGAGAGAGAGAGAGAGAGAGAGAGAGAGAGAAAAGAAGGAAAGAAAGAAAGAAAGAAAGAAAGAAAGAAAGAAAGAAAGAAAGAAAAGAAGGAAAGAAAGAAAAAAAGAAGGAAAGAAAGAAAAAAGAAGGAAAGAAAGAAAGAAAGAAAGAAGAAAGAGAGAGAGAGAGAGAGAGAGAGAGAGAGAGAGAGAGAGAGAGAAAGGGAGTAAGAAAAAGAAGAAAGAAAGAAAGAAAAAAAGAAAGAAAGAAAGAAGAGAGAGAGAGAGAGAGAGAGAGAAAGAAAAAAAGAAAAAGAAAGAAAGAAAGAAAGAAAGAAAGAAAGAAAGAAAGAAAGAAAGAAGAAAGAGAGAGAGAGAGAGAGAGAAAGAAAAAAAGAAAAAGAAAGAAAGAAAGAAAGAAAGAAAGAAAGAAAGAAAGAAAGAAAGAAAGAAGAAAGAGAGAGAGAGAGAGAGAGAGAGAGAGAGAGAGAGAGAGAGAGAGAGAGGAAGGAAGGAAGGAAGGAAGGAAGGAAGGAAGGAAGGAAGGAAGGAAGGAAGGAAGGAAGGAAGGAAGGAAGGAAGGAAGGAAGGAAAGAAGGGAAGAAAGACAGCATCTGGGACAGGCAGGTGACCGGACCCAGAGCTCGGCCTGCTGACAGCACCCAGGTGAGCCCAGCCCTGCCCAGGCTCCGCGGCCCTCCCCTCGGGCTCCCCGGCTCCCTGGCCTGGAACACCCCTCCCTTGTCCTCTGGGCCACCCTGGGCTGCAGAACTGGCCCTTCAGGTTCAGCTCCGGCCGCCGCCCCTCCTCCTCCCCCCTCTCCTCCTCCTCCAGGAAGTCTGCCGGGACTTCACCCTCCGCAGCCTCCTCTGGGCTTCCCTGCTGCCCTTTGCATCCATGTGACAGCACATGCCTGTCACCTTTTCCTCTCGGCCAGCTACCCTGCCAAACGCTCAGCGTGACCTCAGGCCACCCTCCCCGAGCTGGGCGGCGCAGAGAGGCGGAGACACATGGCCGAGGTCACACAGCCAGCCAGGGGCCAGTCAGGGGAGGGTAGCCCCAAAAGGTGAAGGAAGGGGCTGCTGCATTGGGTGATTGCACGGCCCAGGTTCACCTGTCTCCATCGTCACGCCAGGCCGGCGTGGCTCCGTGATTGAACGTTGACCTATGAACCAGGGGGTCACAGTTGGATTCCCGGTCTGTGCACATGCCTGGGTTGGGGGCTCAATCCCCAGGGTGGGGCATGCAGGAGACAGCTGATCCATGATTCTCCTCGTGGATTTTTTTTTCTCTCTCTCTCTCCCTCTCCCTTCCTCTCCGAAGTCAATACAAATGTCTATATACATGTTTAAGACTCCACCGTGTATCGGTTGTGTTGTTGTAAGTAAACTACTTATTGCCGAAACCGGTGTGGCTCCGTAGATAGTGTCGGCCTGCAGACAGAAGGGTCCCAGGTTTGATTCCTGTCAGGGGCATGTGCCATGACACCCAGTAGGGGGTGTGCAGGAGACAGCTGACCAATGTTTCTCTCTCATCAGTGTTTCTACCTCTCTATCCCTCTCTCTTCCTCTCTGTGGAAAATCAATAAAAAATATTTTTAAAAAATAAAAATGAATCGCCGAAACCGGTGTGGCTCAGTGGATAGAGCGTTGGCCTGAGGACTGAAAGGTACCGGGTTCATTCTGGTCAAGGGCAAGGACCTTGGTTGCGGGCACATCCCCAGTAGGGGATGTGCAGGAGGCAGCTGATCGATGATTCTCTCTCATTGATATTTCTAACTCTCTATCCCTCTCTCTTCCTCTCTGTAAAAAAATCAATAAAATAGCTGAAACCAGTTTGGCTCAGTGGATAGAGCATCCGCCTGTGGACTGAAAGGTCCCAGGTTCGATTCTGGTCAAGAGCATGTACCTTGGTTGCAGGCACATTCCCACTGGTGGGAGTGCAGGAGGCAGCTGATTGATGTTTCTCTCTCATTGATGTTTCTAGCTCTCTATCTCTCTCCCTTCCTCTCTGTAAAAATCAATAAAATATATATTTAAAAAAATCAATAAAATATATTTTAAAATAAAAAATAAAAAATCACTTACTAGTAACTTGTGTGTGCCTCCGTTTTCTCGTGTATAAATGGGGTTTCTGGGCCCCATTTCCTAGGATGTGGTGGGAAGAACCCGTACAAATATAATGTGCCCTGACCATATCGAACCATGACCTCACGGTTCATGGGTCCGTGCCAAACCACTGAGCCACACTGGCCGTGCTCCTGTTCCAGTCATTGATGCATTCCTTGGTTGGACGTGCCTTGACCAGGAATCAAACGCCCCGATGATGACTCTGCTTTTACCCCTAGGAGTTTCTGAGCAGACACTGGGACTGGGGCGAGAGGAGGGCGGCAGCAGGGAGGCCGGTGAGGGGGCAGGGCCAGGGGAGAGCCGATGGATGGCGGTGGGAACCAGGTGGGGGTGGCCTGTTCCCTCTCCTGCTCCTCTGGCCCTCCCCGCGGGGTTTAGGAGGGAAATCCCCAAGGAGCTGGGAAAGGGAACAGGTGGAGACGGAACCACGGCCAGGGGTGCCCAGAGCACCAGGCACTAGCTCTGGGGACAGAACGACGGCCCCTGCCCTGCCCGCCTGGCTCCGTGGCTGAGCGTCCACCCAGGAGGTCAGGGTTAGATTCCAGGTCAGGGCACAGGCCTGGGTTGTGGGCTTGATCCCCAGTGGGGGGCGTGCAGGAAGCAGCCGATCCATGACTCTCTCTCCAGATGGATGTTTCTCTCTCCCTCCCTCCCTTCCTGTCTGACATCAATAAAAATATATTTAAAGCACTAGCCGGCTCAGCTCAGTGGATAGAGCATCAGCCTGTGGACTGAAGGGTCCCGGGTTCGATTCTGGCCAAGGGCACATGCCTGGGTTCCAGGTTCAATCCCCAGTGTAGGGCGTGCAGGAGGCAGCCGGTCCATGATTCTCTCTCCTCATGGATGCTTCTCCCTCTCTCTCCCTCTCCCTTCCTCTCTGAAATTAATATATATATTAAAAAGGGCCCTGACCGGTTTGGCTCAGTGGATAGAGCGTCGGCCTGCAGACTGAAGGGTCCCAGGTTCAATTCCGGGCAAGGGCATGTGCCTTGGTTGCGGGCACATCCCCAGTGGGGGCTGTTCAGGAGGCAGCTGATCGATATTTCTAGCTCTCTCTCCCTCTCTCTTCCTCTCTGTAAAAAAAAATAAAAAAATCAATACAATATATTTAACAAGGAAAAGGAAAAAGAAAGGCCACCCTCCCAGGCACTCCAGGTCGCCGGCCCCCGGCTTGCACCTTGGAAGCCACCTCTGACAGCCCGGGGACCAGGAGGGATGGGGCATGACCGGGGCTGGGGCCTGTGTTGTGACGGTCGCACTGTTGTCACCGGGAAACAATCGAGGTTCCCCGGGAGCCGGGACCGCCCCGCACCGCCCCGCCCCGGCCTCCTGGCGGGGCAGTGCCAGGTGAGTGCTCAGGTATGCGGAGGCGGGCCACCGGGAGGGAGGAGGGAGGAGGAGGAGGAGGAAGGAGCAGGAGGGCTGGGACGGCAGAGCAGGCCTGGCCTCCCAGGGAGCCTGACGGGCAGGTGAGGAGGGGGCCCGGCCGGACTGGGGGCGGCACCCCAGGGCCCTGGACTCGGGAAGGGCCGGGGCTCTGGACTCTGAGTGTGAAGGGGTGAGGGCTGACCTTTGGGCCTCCCCCGGGGCTAGAGGAAGAACACAGGGTCATGGGCACTGAGGAAGTGGGTGAGAGGTCCCCCCCCAGGAGATCCCGGGTCAGGCCCCCTGGTTCTCAGGGGTCAGCACCTGGGAGCTGGGCCCGGACCCCTGAGAGGGGAAGGCTGGGAGACTGGACCCTGGGGAGAGGAGGCAAGTGGGAACCCAGAGGTTGGGGAATTGAATGCATGGATTTCTGAAGGATTGGAGGGAAAGGGGACAAGGTATGGAAGAGGAGGAGCTGGGGCCTGGGCTCCTGGGTCTGAGGGAGGAGGGCTGGGGGCATGGACTCCTGGGTCTGAGGGAGGAGGGCTGGGAGCCTGGGCTCCTGGGTCTGAGGGAGGAGGGGCTGGGGGCCTGGGCTCCTGGGTCTGAGGGAGGAGGCTGGGGGCCTGGGCTCCTGGGTCTGAGGGCGGATGGCTGGGGGCCTAGGCTCTTGGGTCTGAGGGAGGAGGGGCTGGGAGTCTGGGGGCCTGGGCTCCTGGGTCTGAGGGAGGAGGGCTGGGGGCCTGGGTTCCTGATCTGAGGGAGGAGGACTGGGGGCCTGGACTCCTGGGTCTGAGGGAGGAAAGGCTGGGCTCCTGGGTCTGAGGGAGGAGAGGCTGGGCTCCTGGGTCTGAGGGAGGAGGGCTGGGGACCTGGACTCCTGGGTCCGAGGGAGGAGGCTGGGGGCCTGGGCTCCTGGGTCTGAGGGAGGAGAGGCTGGGCTCCTGGGTCCGAGGGAGGAGGCTGGGGGCCTGGGCTCCTGGGTCTGAGGGAGGAGGGCTGGGGGCCTGGGCTCCTGGGTCTGAGGGAGGAGAGGCTGGGCTCCTGGGTCTGAGGGAGGAGGGCTGGGGACCTGGACTCCTGGGTCTGAGGGAGGAGGGGCTGGGAGGCTGGGGGCCTGGACTCCTGGCTCTGAGGGAGGAGGAACCGAGGGAGGAGGCTGGGTGGGAATCAGGTCCGCAGGGCAGAGCAGGCCTCACCTCTTCGCTGGCTCCCAGGGCACCTCCAGGTGGCAAGAGCTGCCCAGTCCGCACCATGAGCGCCAGCATCGGGTAAGTGTCCACCCCCAGCCCTGCCCTCACCGGCCCACCCACGCCCGCTCGGCATTCCCAGAAGGTCACGGGCTGCCTCCCTCCAGCCCAGGCCGTGGGACTCTCCGCTCAGAGCAGACAGCGCTGGGTTCTAGCCCTCAGCGAACTCATGCCCCAGAGGGGTCTCCCGGCCTGGCCTGCGGGATCGGGCTGAAACCAGCTCTCCGACATCCCCTAGGGGTCCCGGATTGGGAGAGGGCACAGGCCAGGCCGAGGGACCCCATAGGTGCACTATCGGGGCCGGGGAGGGACACGGGAGGTTGGCCAGCCGGGGAGGGGCCACAGGAGGGCTCCAGTGCATGTCTGGCCCCCTAATCTGCCAGACCCCAGCAGCAAGCTAACCTAACGGTCATAGCGTCCACCCCCTGGTGGTCAGGGCACATCATAGCGACTGGTTGACTGGTTGACTGTCTGCCCCCCTGCTGGTCAGTGCACGTCATAGCAAGCAGCCTTAGCATATCATTAGCATATTGCTCTTTGATTGGTTGAATGGATGACCGGACACTTAGCATATTAGGCTTTTGTTATATAGGAGATGGACCCCTTGCCCTGGCTGGGAAGCTCAGCTGGTTAGACAGTTGTTTCAATGCACCAATGTTCTGGGTTCGATCCACAGAATCACCCAATGAAGGTATAAATAAGTGTGACAATAGATTGCTCTCTCTCTCCCTTCCTCTTCCTCTAAGATCAATAAGTAGAAAGAAATATCTGCTAAGAAGTCAGGGGTGTTTATAAGGAAGGCTCAGGTCTCCTGGAGTGAGCACAGACAGACACTTGGGAATGGGTGCATGGGGGGGTGTGTGTGAGGTAGTGAGCTCTCTCCAGCCCAGAGATAATCAAGTCGTGGCCATGTCTGACGGACAGGAGCAGGGTGAGGAGCACCTGTTTGACCGAAAGGGTTTCTCGTGCCTCATCCCTCACCCCACCTGGGCCCCGAGCCTTTGTTCCTTCTGAGGAAATGGGGACTCAGGAATTCTTCTTGGAGGAGGCAGGAGGCAGGGAAGGGTTTAGCTGGGTGGAGCCTAGCTCGGGCGGGGGGGAGGGGGGGGGATGGGAGGGGAAGAAGGTAAATCTCCATCTGCCCCAAATATTTTCCAATTTTTTAAAAATACAACTTTAGCTGAAACCGGTGTGGCTCAGTGGATAGAGCGTCGGCCTGCAGACGGGTTCGATTCCGGTCAAGGGCATGTGCCTTGGTTGCAGGCACATCCCCAGTGGTGGGTGTGCAGGAGGCAGCTGGTCGATGTTTCTCTCTCCTCGGTGTTTCTAGCTCTCTATCCCTCTCCCTTCCTCTCTGTAAAAAATCGGTAAAATATATTAAATATATATATATAGCTTTATTGATTTCAGAGAGGAAGGGAGAGGGCGAGAGAGAAACATCAATGATGAGAGCGAATCCATTGGTCGGCAGCCTCCTGCACGCCCCACACGGGATCCAGCCCGCAACCCAGGCCTGTGCCCTGACCGGGAATCCAACCGTGACCTTCTGGCTCATAGGTGGATGCTCACCCACTGAGCCATGCCGGCCGGGCGCTGCTCCAAATAGGAATGCTATTTAAAAACCCCCGTTTATTAAGCAACTACTACGTATGCGCCAAGCCCTTAGCATTGCAATAATGACGATAATAGTTATCGAGGGCATAGAACACTCCACGGGCCTCATCTCACTGAGTCCACCCAACAGCCCTACCCGATGGGAGCCACGGGGCAGCCAACCCCTGTCTCGCAGAGAGGGAAACCGAGGCAGGAGAGATGAAGCCTCCTACCCTGGGCCTTATGGCAAGGCAGCATGTGCCAGGGGATGTGAACCAGGTCTGTGTGACAGCGGAGGCCACACTCCCCACCGCTGCCCAGGACCTGTCCTCTCCTCCTCCAATCAGAACCTTCTGTGGCTCCTCGGTTCCTGCTCCCTCCAATGAAGTCGCTGCTTTTCTTGGTTTTAAACCCCATGATCTGTCCCTCTCACCCCCTCTTTTCCGTCACCAGCCCAGAAGCTGCCCCCAAACCCAGCGCCAAGTCCATTTATGGTGAGTGTATCAGCCGAGAGAAACTGGGTCTGAGGGAGGAGGCACTGAGGACCTGGAGTCCTGGGTCAGAGGGAGGAGGGGCGGCTTGGGGGGGACCTGGATTCCTAGGTCAGAAGGAGGAGGAGCTAAGGGTGGGGACTTCTGGGTCCGAAGGAGGAGGGTTGGAGGTCTGGACTCCTGGGTCTGAGGGAGGAGGGCTGGGGGCCTGGGCTCCTGGGTCTGAGGGAGGAGGCCTAGGGGCCTGGGCTCCTGGGTCTGAGGGAGGAGGGCTGGGGGCCTGGGCTCCTGGGTCTGAGGGAGGAGGGCTGGGGGCCTGGGCTCCTGGGTCTGAGGGAGGAGGGCTGGGGGCCTGGGCTCCTGGGCTCCTGGGTCTGAGGGAGGAGGCTGGGGCCTGGGCTCTAGTCTGAGGGAGGAGGGGCGGGGGGCCTGGGTCTGAGGGAGGAGGGGCTGGGGAACTGGGCTCCTGGGTCTGAGGGAGGAGGCTGGGGATCTGGGCTCCTGGGTCTGAGGGAGGAGGGCTGGGGCCTGGACTCCTGGGTCTGAGGGAGGAGGGCTGGGGCCTGGACTCCTGGGTCTGAGGGAGGAGGGGCTGGGGGCCTGGGCTCCTGGGTCTGAGGGAGGAGGGGCTGGGGGCCTGGGCTCCTGGGTCTGAGGGAGGAGGGCTGGGGGCCTGGACTCCTGGGTCTGAGGGAGGAGGAGGGGCTGGGGTCCTGGGCTCCTGGGTCTGAGAGAGGAGGGCTGGGGGCCTGGGCTCCTGGGTCTGAGGGAGGAGGGCTGGGGTCCTGGGCTCCTGGGTCTGAGAGAGGAGGGCTGGGGGCCTGGGCTCTGGGTCTGAGGGAGGAGGGCTGGGGGCCTGGGCTCTGGGTCTGAGGGAGGAGGGCTGGGGGCCTGGGCTCTGGGTCTGAGGGAGGAGGGGCTCGGACAAGGACCCCTGGGTCTGGGGGTGATGGAGCTGAGGACCCAGGCCCCTGACCCCTCCCCCTGGCCCCCAGAGCAGAGGAAGCGGTACTCCACGGTGGTGATGGCTGACGTCTCCCAGTACCACGTCAATGTGAGTGTGGGGTCTGGCTGCCTCAGGAAGTCAGTCTTCGGGGACCCATGGGGATGGGGTGTTGAAAGCAGGGGGGCTTCGGGGCGGAAGGAACGGGGGAGCCCCAGCCCGCTCACCTGCCAGCTTTGGCTCTGGACCAGCGTGGCCACAGGCGCACACCAGAGTCAGTCCTGGAGGGAGGCGCAGGGCCCAGACAGGGTCCGGAGGCACAGCCGGGGGAGGCAGGCAGGCAGGGAGGTGCTTTGGACGGGCCGGGACGGAACCCAGAACATTCCCTGTCTGTGGGAACACAGGCCCAGGGGGCCCCCATTCGGATGAAAGAGGAACAAAGGGGCACTGGGCGGGAAGCCCAATGGATGGCGCAGCGGTCAGGGAAGGCTGCCTGGAGGCGGCGTGGTTAGCCACCAACGGGAAGGCGGCTGGTGCCAGGGATGCTGAGAGCATCCGGGGCACCGGGCACCGGGCTGGGCTCACCGCTCCCTCTCCGGCCCCCCTCCCCCAGCACCTGGTGACCTTCTGCCTGGGCGAGGAGGACGGCGTGCACACGGTGGAGGACGCGGCGCGGAGGCTGGCCGTCATGGACAGCCAGGGCCGCGTGTGGGCGCAGGAGATGCTGCTGCGCGTGTCTCCCGACCACGTCAAGCTGCTGGACCACGTGTCCAAGGTGCCCGGGTCACGTGGGGGTGGAGGGGGAGGGTGGGGAGGGGGGTCTTGGTGTGAATCTTGGCTTCTGTGCGCGCTTCCTCTGGGGACTTAGGCAAGGAACCCCGCCCCCACCCGCCCCTTCTTGGGGGGCTCTATTCGTCTCATTTGTTTTTTAAAAAAAATATATATTTTATTGATTTTTTTACAGAGAGTAAAGGAAAGGGAGAGAGAGAGTTAGAAACATCGACGAGAAAATTCCATCAGGTGCCTCCTGCACACCCCCTATTGGGGATGTGCCCGCAACCAAGGTACATGCCCCTGGCCGGAATCGAACCCGGGACCCTTGAGTCCGCAGACCGACGCTCTATCCACTGAGCCAAACCAGTTTCGGCAAAAATATATATTTTATTGATTTTTTAAATTTTTTTACAGAGAGGAAGGGAGAGGGAGAGAGAGTTAGAAACATCCATGAGAGAGAGACATCGATCATCTGCCTCCTGCACACCCGCCACTGCCCGCAGCCATGGAATCGAACCCGGGACCCTTCTGTCCACTGAGCCACACCTGTCAGGGCTTGTCTCATTTATTTATTTTTTTCTTAAACTATATTTCATTGATTTTTTTTTTTTTTTACAGAGAGGAAGGGAGAGGGAGAATTAGAAACATCGATCAGCTGCCTCCTGCACACCCCCTACTGGGGATGGGCCGGCAACCAAGCTACATGCCCTTGACTGGAATCGAACCCGGGACCCCTCAGTCCGCAGGGCGAGGCTCTATCCACTGAGCCACACGGGTTAGAGCTGGTCTCACGTAGTAAACGGCCTGCGCAGCGCCTGCACCCGCTGGGCTGGCCCTGCGGTCTCCGCGCAGCCGCGTCCCGGTTCCGGGCCTCAGTTTACCTCCCCCCCACCCCCCCACCCCCCGCCCCGCAGGAGGAGCTGGAGTCCTACCCGCTGAGCGCCATCCTGCGCTGCGACGCGGTGACGCCGCCGGGCCGGGGCCGCGCGCTGCTGCTGCTGGTGTGCCAGGAGCCCGCGCGCGCGCAGCCCGACGTGCACTTCTTCCAGGGCCTGCGGCTCGGGGTGAGCGCCGGGGCGGGGCGGGGCGGGGCGGGGCGGGGCCCGGGGCTGGGGGCGGGGCCCGGGGCTGGAGGAGGGGCCCGGGGGCTGGAGGAGGGGCCCGGGAGCTGGGGGCGGGGCTAGAAGCTAGGGGCGTGGGCCCGGGAGCCGGGGACAGGGCCCGGATCTGGGGGCGGGGCCCGGGAGCTGGGGCGGGGCCCGGGAGCTGGGGGCGGGGCCCGGGAGCTGGGGGCGGGGCCCGGGAGCTGGGAGCGGGGCCAGGGAGCTGGGGCGGGGCCCGGGAGCTGGGGGCGGGACCCGGGAGCTGGGGGCGGGGCCCGGAAGCTGGGAGCGGGGCCAGGGAGCTGGGGGCGGGGCCCAGGGAGCTGGGGGCGGGGTCAGGGCGGCAGAGGGCGGGGCTTGGGAAGACGTGGGAAGAACGGGAGCTTTTTTTCTTTTTTAACTTTATTATACCCATTTTTTAAATTTCTTTATTGGTTTCAAAGAGAAAGGGAGAAGGAGAGAGAGAGAGAGAGAGAGAGAGAGAGAGAGAAAGAGAAACATTAATGATGAGAATCATTGATCAGCTGCCTCCAGCAGGTCCCCTACTGGGGGTCGAGCCCGAATCTCAGGCATGTGCCCTTGGCCGGAATCGAACCGGGGACCCTTCAGACCGCAGGGTGATGCTCTATCCACTGAACCAAACCAGCTAGGGCTCTTTTTTTATTTTTTTAAATATATTTTATTGATTTTTTTACAGAGAGGAAGGAAGAAGGAAAGAGAGAAACATCGATCAGCTGCCTCCTGCACACCCCCCACTGGGGATGTGCCTGCACCAAGGCACATGCCCTTGACCGGAATCGAACCTGGGACCCTTCAGTCTCCAGGCTGACACTCTACCCACTGAGACAAACCAGGGCTCTTTTTTAAGTTTAAAAATATATATATTTTATTTTTATTGATTTCAGAGAGGAAGAGGGGGGGGGGAGAGAGAGCTAGAAACATCAATGGTGAGAGAGAATCATGGATCAGCTGCCTCCTGCACGCCCGCTACTGGGGATCAAGTCCACAACCTGGGCATGTGACCTGACTGGGAATCGAACCCGGGACCCTTTGATCCTCAGGCTGATGCTCTGCCCACTGAGCCGAACCGGCTAGGGTGGGAGGGGGCTTTGGGTGCAGGTTGGACTCAGGCTCAGGCGCTCGGACAGAGCAGGGGAGAGGGGCCTAGAGGTCAGCGCAGCGGGGGTGGGGGAGTGTGGTCTGAGTGGGGAGCCACCCGGATGGGGCCCGTGGGAGGGGGCGTGGCCTCGGCCTGGGTCAGGTTTAGGGCGGCGGAGCTTTGAGCCCAGGGTGTGCACCTGCGCGGGGCCACATGCGTGAGCGATGACTGGACCTGGTCTGGGACCGAGCCCATCCGGGTCCATCCGGGATGGGCGGAGGGGGCGGGGCCTGACCGCGTGATTGGCAGGCGGAGCTGATGCAGGAGGACATCCAGGGGGCTCTGCACAACTACCGCTCCGGCCACGGGGATCGGCGGGCGGCGGCGCTCAGGTAAGGGGGGGCTGGGAGCGGGGGGCGGGGAGAAGGGGGGACGGGTGGGTGTGTCTGGGCCTCAGTCTCCCCATCCGGGAAATGGGCTGTTACCACTAGCCTAGAATGGAGTCAAACACAGGCTCTTCAAGTCTTGCGTGTACCTCCCAGACAAGTGCCCCCCTACTTTTCCTGCTTCTGGTCCTGGAGTCCTCCCCGCTTAGCCCGTTTCCCGCCCCAAAGAGGTGCTTCCCCTGCCCGCGCCAATACCTTGCAATTCTCCATTCTGAGCTGAGGTTTGACCCCATGTGAGCCATTGTGTCTGGTTTTTTGTTTTTTTATTATTATTGATTTTTTACAGAGAGAGAGGGAGAGGGATAGACAGTTAGAAACATTGATGAGAGAGAAACATCGATCAGCTGCCTCCTGCACACCCCCCACTGGGGATGTGCCGGCAATCAAGGTACATGCCCTTGACCAGAATCGAACCTGGGACCCTTGAGTCCGCAGGCTGACGCTCTATCCTCTGAGCCAAACCGGTCAGGGCTATTTTTTTTTAAATTTCTTTATTGATTAAGGTGTTACATATATGTCCTTATTCCCCCGTTATTCCGCCATCTCCCCCCACTCATGCCCTCAGCCCCCTGCTGTCTGTGTCCATTGGTCACTGTGTCTGTTTTAGCCTCCCCTTTTCCCCTTCCTGGACTCCTCGGGGGACCCAGCCTCAGTTTCCCCTTCTCCCTCACAGGGCCACGCAGGAGGAGCTGCAGCGCCACCCCGAGCCCGCCGCCGAGACGCCGCCCCTGCAGCGCCGCCCGTCCCTCCGCGCGGTGATCAGCGCCGCGGAGTGGGCCGCGGCCCGCGAGCGCCCCCAGGCGGAGCCCATCCCGGAGGAGGAGGAGGAAGCAGCACGGAGGCCGGGCGGGGCGGAGACCCCCAGGGGCGCGGACCCGGCCTCCCCGGACCTGGGCCCCCGCGGCCCGGAACTGGCGGGTCTGCAGGCCGAACGAGAAGTGGTGAGCCTGGCGGGGCCAGCGGTCCGGGGCCCGGGCAGGCGGGGCTGGGGTCTGGGGGCGGTACTGGCTATGCTTATGCTATGGGGTGTGAGTCCCCCGTTGGGAGGCGGGGCCGAGTCTGGAGGCGGGGCCAGGTCTGGGGCGGACCTTGTATGGAGGCGGGGCCAGATCTGGGGGAGGGGCCACGTCTGGAGGCGGAGTCAGACACCTGGAAGGTGTGTGGGGGGGTGACCGAATGGGGAGCCAGGCATCAGTGGCCTGGGTTGGACCTGCCCGGGGTGAGGGGCGTGGCCATTGGGGCGTGGCGTGGGGGGCGCTAGGCGTGGTGATTGGATGGTGCGGGGCAGTTAGGCGGGGCGTGGTTATCGATGGGGCGGGGCAGTTAGAGGGGCGTAGTTATATTAGGGAGGCAGGCGTGGTGATTGGATGGGACGGGGCAGTTAGGCGGGGCGTGGTTATCGAGGGGCGTGGTTATATTAGGGAGGCGGGGCATGGTGATTGGAGGCCCAAAGGGAGAGAATAGCCAATGAAGAGTAGCACCAAGGGCAACCCAGGGCGTGGTTATCGAGGGGCGTGGTTATATTAGGGAGGCAGGGCGTGGTGATTGGAGGCCCGAAGGGAGGGTGTGGCCAATGAAGAACGAGTGGCACATCCCGGACCCTGAGCGCTCCTGGCTGGACGGCTTTGCCAGGACCGCTGAGGGTCCGGGATCAGGATCAGGGGTCCCACAGGTCCCGTCCCCCCTCCATTCTGTTCGCCAGGACATACTGAACCACGTGTTCGACGACGTGGAGAGCTTCGTGTCGAAGCTGCAGAAGTCTGCGGAGGCGGCCCGCGTGCTGGAGCACCGGGAGCGCGGCCGCAGGACCCGGCGCCGGGAGGCCGGGGGTGAGGCGCGCCCTGGGGTGGGATCCCCGTCCCCCCCCCTCGTCCCCTGGGCACTCCCAGATAGCCTCCCTGTCCCCAGGGTCTCCCCATCACACACCCTGGCCCTCCATCCTAATCCCCCCGGGGCGCCCCCTCTCTGACGCTGCCCCCTGTCCCCTTGCCTGCCCCCCCGCACCCCCAGAGGGCCTCCTGGCGCTGCGGGCCAAGCCGCCCAGCCAGGCCGAGTACACCGACGTCCTTCAGAAAATCAAATACGCCTTCAGCCTGCTGGTGAGGACGCGCTCCCGGGGCTTCAGGAGCGGGGGCTGCGGGGGGGACGGCGGCTGGCGACCCCGAACTGTCCACGTCTAATGCCACCCCCCCCCATTCCCGCCCCGCAGGCCCGGCTGCGCGGCAACATCGCGAACCCCTCCTCCCCGGAGCTGCTGCACTTCCTGTTCGGACCCCTGCACGTGGTGAGAGCACCCTCCCCCGTCCTCGGCCCTCAGGACCCCCACACTGCAGCAGGAGGAATCGGGGTTCCTCTTCTGAGGGTCTGAGGTGTGCCATTCCCCCGGGCAGATTGTGGAGATGTCCGGCGGACCCCAGCTGGCGAGCGGCGTGCGGCGGCCGCACCTGACGGCGGAGGCGGTGGCGCTGCTGCGGGAGAACGTCACCCCCAGTGAAAACGCGCTCTGGACCTCGCTGGGGGACGCGTGGACCCGCCCCGGGTGAGGGGCGTGGCGATGGGCGTGGCAGGGGCGCCGGGCGTGGTTATTGAGGGGCGGGGCGTGGTGATTGGATGGGCGGAGCTGGTGAGTGGGGCGGGGTTAATGAGGGGCGGGGCGTGGTGATTGGAGGCCAGGAGGGAGGGTGTGGCCAATGAAGAAAGGACCGCGTACAAATGCCAGCATCCGATTGGAGGAAAGAGGAAAGGCTAGAGATTAGTGTGCAGAGATTTCTTTAAAGATATTTTTTTTTTTATTGATTTCAGAGAGGAAGGGAGAGGGATAGAGAGCTAGAAACATCAATGATGAGAGAGAATCAATTGGTTGGCTAGTGAAGATCGAGCCCACAACCCAGGCATCTGCCCTTAGCCAGCATCGAACCTGGGTCTTTCAGGCCAATCAATGCTCTATCCACTGAGCCAAACGGGCTAGGGCTGAAGGAGAGATTTAAGACATCAGATAGACAATCAGACCGGAATGAAAGGCGAGGCTTATAGGAATGGGGCGGGACTGCGGGGGTGGGGGGGGGCTATACCGAAGGGGCGGTGCTTAGGAGAGGTTTGGTCTGAGGGTGGGAAAGGGGGCGGAGTCTGTACTCCGAGGCAGAGTTCCTTATTAAACATTATATTTAATATCAATTATTGAATAATATATTTGATATCAATTATTGAATAATATATTTGATATGAATTATTAAATAATGTATTTGATGTGAATTATTAAATATTATATTTAATATAAATTATTAAATATTATATTTAATATAGATTATTAACTATTGGGGCGGGGCTTAGAGGCAGGGCCAGAGCTTGGCAGGAAGAGGCCAGGATAGAACAGCTGGGTTAGAGTGCGGTTTGGGGGGCAGAGGGCAGGAGGGAGGGGAGAAGTCACGGGCCAAGCCGGGTGGAACCGGGTCGCTGAGCCTCCCCTCGGCCTCTCTTTGGCTGCAGGGTGGAGCTGCCCCCGGAGGAGGGACCCCCCTACGTCCCCGAGTTCTACAGCGGCTGGGAGCCCCCGGCCGCGGACCCCCAGGGCCGCCCCTGGGAGGACCCAGTAGAGAAACAGCTGCAGCACGAGCGGCGGCGCAGGCAGGTAAGTCTCAGGGTTGGGGGGTGACCCAGCAGGGCCAGGCCTGGGGGGGTCTGGGAGGGTGACACCCACCCCCATCCCCACCCTCACCCCTACCCGGCCCTGCCCCTGACCTGCCGCCTTCTCTCCCGCAGCAAAGCGCCCCCCAGATCGCTGTCAACGGGTGAGTGTCAGCCCCAGGGCGGGGTGGCTGGGGTCCCGGAGGGGTGCGTCCTGGGGGCTCCCCGCGCTGACTCCGCCCTCCCCCCCCTATTTTTTTCCCCCCTGTCTTTTTCCTTCTGTCTTCTCTACTCTTCTTCGCAGGTGGGTGAGGTGGTGACCAGGCCTGGGACCCGGGCTGGGAGCGGGGGGGAGGGGCAGGGAGGGAGGAGCAGGGAGGAAGGGGCCTGGGCCCAGATTTCTGGGTGTGAGCAGGGAGGAGGGGGGCTGGAGGCCCGGGTTCCAGGGTCTGAGGGAGGAGGAGGGGCTGGGTGTGGGTAAAATTCTGAGAGGTTGGATCCAGAGTCCCCAAAGGGCTGGGGGAAAGGCACTTCGGTTCCCCAGGATCTGGGATGCTCCCCGCCGGGGGTCCCTCCCAGGACGCAGCCCTGGGTGTTGAGGGGGAAGAGGCTGGGAATGAAACATCTGGGTCGCGAGTCTGGTCCTTGGAACCTTGGAGACCAGAGAAGGGGGGCTCAGAACGTCAGGGGCTGAGCGGCCAGTCTGGGGAGGGAGGTCCAGGAAGTGGAGAGGGGACAAGGCTCTGCAGCAATTGTCTCGCTCGCTGCTGAGCATCAGACTGGGGCCCTTTAAGACTTAAAGGGCCAAGACATGAAAGCTTAAGACTTGGGATTCCTCTGTCTCTGGGAGAGGAAAGAACTGGGGGTGCAACTTCATGATTCCGACAAGCAGTGGGGGTGCAGACGCTTGGGGCCAGGGGCAGAGGGGGGTAGAGGGTGCCTGGACAGTAGAGAAGCCACGTGGGATGAGAGGAGCCGAGCAGGAAGGCTGGAGGAGCCGAAGGGGGGTCTGGGCCCGGGCCGGGCGGCGGGTCTCAGCAGGGACAGCGTGCTGGGAGCTGCCTGCCTGCCCCACACAGGGGGTGCCGCGGCCCTGAAGACCCCCCCTCTCCCTCGCACAGGTAGGCCTGATCCGGGCTGAGGTCCCCCTCTAACTGGGGGGTCGGAGGTCAAATCCCAGGCCCCTTCCCCCGGCTGCCTGGTCTCGCAGTACCCCGCCCTCACCCCCATGCTTCTGAGACCCCCAACTTTTAACTCGCCTTCTCTGTGCCTCGAGTTCTTTGGAGGAGAAAAAACAAAAAAATAGGGGAATGATCATCCCTTCCTGGAAGAATGACAAGCCTGTGAGGCTGTAAGGTTTTCCGTTCCGAGCTCAAGGCCACAGCCCTAACCGGTGTGGCTCAGTGGATAGAGCGTCGGCCTGCGGACTGAAGGGTCCCAGGTTCGATTCCGGTCAAGGGCATGTACGTTGGTTGCGGAAACAGAACCAGCAACCCCCCTGGGTGCAGGGGTCTAGGAGATGGAGGTGATGCTAGTACCCATCAGCATGTTGCAGGCACATAAGAAGCAAAATACACTAAGTGGCCAGATGGTGATGATCTTTGAACACATAATTATCTGGCCACTCAGTGTATATATATTAGAGGCCCTGTGCATTAATTCGTGCATAAGTGGGGGGGGGAGGGAGGGGGGAATGAGCAGTTGGCCAGCCGGCCTGCTGGTGGAGGGGATAATTTGCATGTTAGCCTTTTATTCTATAGGATAGACACTGAGTGGCCAGATTATTATGCATTCAGAGATCACCATCATCTGGCCACTCAGTGTCTACCCTATAGAATAAAAGGCTAACCTGCAAATTATTATGCATTCAGAGATCACCATCATCTGGCCACTCAGTGTCTACCCTATAGAATAAAAGGCTAACCTGCAAATTATTATGCATTCAGAGATCATCATCATCTGGCCACTCAGTGTATATTCCCACTGTTTTTCCAACGTTACGTCTCCATTAACCGTACTAACCCGGCCCCCTGCCTCGGCCCCTGCTTGGCTCTCACCCCAGCTCACACCAACACCCTCCAGCCCAGCGCCCTCGGGGGAGCTGCCTCCTTTCCCCAACCCTCCCCCCTCTCCTCAGCCACCAGGACCCGGAGTCGGAAGCCGAGCCTCAGCAGCCGGAGCCGGAGCCGGCGGGGAAGTGGGTCCTGTGTAACTATGACTTCCAGGCCCGCAACAGCAGCGAGCTGTCCGTCCAGCACCGGGACGTGTTGGAGGTCCGAGGAGTGGGGGCGGAGGGGCTGGAGGGTACCCCACCCTAAGGGCACACACAGGCTCTGACACCCCCCCCCCCGCGACCTCTGACCATCCCCCCAGGTCCTGGATGACCAGCGCAAGTGGTGGAAGGTGCGAGACCAGCGTGGGCAGGAGGGATACGTTCCCTATAACATCCTGACACCCCACCCGGGGCCCCGAGGGAGCCGCAGCCCAAGCCCTGCCCGCACTCTGGTGAGCCAGGGCGGACCCCTGGGTCTGGAGGGAAGAGGCTCTGGGAACCAGATCCTGGGTCCTGGGAATGAGGCGGGTGGTGAGTCGAGTCAAGGGCGCTGGCGAGTCGAAACCGGTGTGGCTCAGTGGATAGAGCGTGGGCCTGCGGATTGAAGGGTCCCAGGTTCGATTCCGGTCAAGGGCATGTACCTTGGTTGCGGGCACATCCCCAGTAGGGGGCGCGCAGGAGGCAGCTGGTCAATGATTCTCATTTTTCTAGCTCTCTATGATATATATATATATATATCAATCACATGTTTCTAGCTCTTTATTCCTCTCCTCTCCTCTCTGTAAAAAAAAAAAAAAGAAATAAAATAATCAAAATATATTTAAGGGGGGGGCACTGGCGGAGGAGGTGCTTGGGGGTTCAGAACTTGATCCCCATCCAGAGGGGCTGGGACTCGGAGTCCTCCCTCTGACCCAGGTGCTCTCCTCTCGGTCCTCTTCCAGGAGAACAGCACTCCTCCGCCCCCACCGACCTCGGCCCCGGCCCCCGCCCCCGCCCGGCCCCACTGGGACAGCTGCGACAGCCTCAACCACCTGGACCCGGGCGACAAGGGTGAGTGCGCGGGCGCCCCGGGCGTCAGGGGCGCGGGCCCCATCCTCCCCGTCCCGGAGGGAAGCCGGGGCTCAGGAAGAGGAGGTTGGCCCATCGCGGGGACCCCCCACCCCTAAGTCCTCCCTCCCTCCCGGTTTCCCGCTCGCAGAGAAATTCTGCCAGATGCTCAGCGTCAACGAGGAGCTGCAGGCGCGCCTGGCGCAGGGCCGCTCGGGCCCCAGCCGCGCAGCCACGGGGCCCCGCGCCCCCGAGCCGCAGCTGCACCCGCGCTCCGACGCCCGGGAGGTCCGCGCCTGGCTGCAGGCGAAGGGCTTCAGCTCCGGGTGAGTAGCGGATTCGGGGCGCGTAGCGGATTCCGAGCGCTCAGAGGCGACGTGTTCTCATTGGCCCAGAGGGGCGCGTGGCGGGCCGCGGGGGAACCCGGATTGGTCCAAAGCGAGGGCCTGTCTGTTTGATTAGCATGCTTTCCCAGGCTCCAATTGGAGGAGCCTCTGGAGAAGTCCCGCCTCCCTCCAAGCAGGGTGCCCCGCCCACCTGTGGCGCGCCGTGATTGGTGGGTGGGTGGGGATTCAGGCAGGAGCCTTCTGCTGATTGGACAGCCGGCGGGCCGGGCGTGAAGGGATGGGTGGGGCGTGGGAGGCTTGCGTTCTGATTGGCCGGCAGGCTGACCGACCGCGCCCCGCTGCCCTGGCTCAGGACCGTGGACGCGCTGGGCGTGCTGACCGGCGCGCAGATCTTCTCGCTGCAGAAGGAGGAGTTCCGCGCGGTGAGCCCCGAGGAGGGGGCCCGCGTGTACAGCCAGGTCACGGTGCAGCGCGCGCTGCTGGAGGTGAGGGGCCGCCCGACCGCCCGACCGCCCGTCCAGGGCCGGGACCGACCGGGGAGGGCGCCCGGGGCCCGGCCGCCAGGGTCCTGATTCCCGCCCCGCCCCGCCCCTGCAGGACAAAGAGAACGTGTCAGAGCTGGAGGCCGTGATGGAGAAGCAAAAGAAGAAGGTGGAAGGCGAGATGGAAACGGAGGTCATTTGACTCTTCTTCCCGGACCTCCGGGAACTGTGTCCGGGCGCCGGGCTGCCCCGCGGCGCCCCTTGGGAGAACGGACTCTGCGTGCAGACTCCCCGCCAAGGGAACTAGACCCCTCGACGGACCGTGGACCTGACCCGACCCTGCTCTTCCCCGATCCCAGTGGACAAAATGGACCATCCCTGCTGGACAGCCCTGAGCGAGGAGGGCTGGCCGGAGCGGACGGGCAGGGAGGGGAGAAGACAACGTAGGGACCTTGCTCAGGAGCCCTGTGCCTTGTCATGTGCTGCCCAGTCTATAAACAGCCTCCTCTTAACGGGCCATCTGCTGACCCTTTTCTACCCGGCTCCCAGGGGGCTCAGCAGCCTGACCCCCCACCCCACCCCCCCCACCCGGCTATAACCTCATAGGGGGAAGGAATCCAGGTCCTGGAGTCTAGGAGACGCTCCCACCTTCGCTGGTTCCTGTCTCTGAGATTTCTCCTTACCCAGGGCCCCAAGCCAGGCTTCCTCCGGCCCCCAGTTCACTCCAGAGGGCTCTTCTGAACACCCAGGGGCCCGGCCCAGCCCTTGCTCTGGCTCCCCACTGCCCTCCTGGCCCCACAGCCTGGTACCCCAGCGCCCCAGTGGTTTGGTCCCTACCCACCTCTGCAACCTCGTCTCTTCCTCATTCTTCCACGCATTGCATTCTGGGCCTGCCCTTCCCCAAATACTCCCCGAAACCTCTTCAGCCACTGGTTTCAGCTGTTGCGACAGCAAGTCCCTGCCACCTGGTGAACTCCCATTCGGCCTTCCAGGGCCAGCGTAGGCACCCAGCTCGGCGAGGCCTGCCCTCCTCTACCTCATCTCCCGCCATCCACTCGGGGTTGTCCCACCGCCTGCCAGGGGCCCAGCCACGGAGAAGCAGCTGCTCCTGCGGGTGACAGGCTTCCTGGCCACGCCATCCCATGGCTTCCTCCCCTGGCCCCTCCCGGAGCACCTCGGCCCAGCTCCCCGCGCCCCCCCCCCCCGAATTCCTGCTGGGCCCTCCCCATGGAGCTCAGCTCCTACCTGAGCCACCCACCAGCTTCCCGGACCCACTGCTCTGCTTCCCTCTTCCTGCCGCCAGGCCCAGTCCCTGCGGTTGCTTCCTCCTGGGACAACCTTACCCTCACGGGTGTCTAAACCTTAAACCTCTCATCTGGGCCCCAATCATTTCTAACAGAGGACTAGAGATGCCAGTGGATCCCCATACCTGCTTGCCCCCCCAGTCCCCCTCCTTGGTAACCCCCATTCTGCCATCACCCAGGCTGCTAACAGGAATGATTTGGGAACGTGGGAGGGGCCTGCCTGCAGGGTGTCCTGGCAGGTGGGGCTGTGGCAGGAATGGAGGGTGAACCAGCTGACCCACGAGCAAACAAACGTACTGGTGTCCGTTTCTATCCCGCACCGCCCGCCCCCCCAGGCTGTTCTGATGCAGCAGCTAGAGGACCCCCTCAGCTCCAGGCCTCCCCCGGCCACACCCCTGCATGCAGCCTCTCCAGGCCATCCCCTACTGCCCTCCAGCCGCGTGGGCCTCTCTGTGTCTCAATATGTCGGCACACTTCTACCCCAGGGCCTTTGCACATGCGTTCTCGACAAGACTCTTCCCTCAAATAACAACATGGCTCATTGCCTGATGCCTTCACGTATGTCTGAGCCAGCTTCTCATGAGATACACCACACACACACACACACACACACACACACACACACACACACGCTAGCACTAGCCCCCTATCCCACTCCCCCATATTCTCTCCATAGCACCACCACTTAAATGCATCCCTTCTGTTGCTGGGTGCCTTATGCCTCTCCCAAGATGGCTCAGATCGCTGCCCTTCTCATTCACTAACGTATCAGCAACAGGCAGGCCAGGGCCTGGCATGAGAAATATGACCAGGAATGAATGAATGAATGAATGAATGAATGGAAGAGTGTGGCTCCAACTCAGCTCCAGCTGTTCCCATGCAGGACTTCTGAGAAGTCATAGATTCCAGCGTTTTCTATGTGAATCACCCACAGTTTACTGTGGTGGCAACTGCCCGTTTCACTACCAATGGCGACAAGACCCCAGCTCCCGGCTGCATCTCATCGCCGCCCTGCTGGTGAGCCCGTCAGCCGGCTGGCCGCGGCTCCACCAGGCTTCCCGAGGCCCCTCCCCGGCCCGGGGAGCAGGCACCCCGCCGTGCCCCGCACAGCCAGCGGACACAGCACCCCACCCCCAGCAGGGGACCCAGCCGCTGAGTGGCAACGTCACGAGCTTTATTTGTGGTGCCTGTGCTATGTCTCAAAAATACCTTCTCCCCCTGCCCCGGGCGGCGCCGGGGAGGGGGCAGCAAAAAATACAAGACGCCCTCCCTATTGCACGCGGACCCTATATACAGGCCCACCGGCCCAGGCCGGCGGGCGCGTGGCACGTTCTCGGATCCCTGCTCGGGGCGGGAGGGCGACTGGTGGCGGCACACGTGAGAGGGGACCTCCGGGCGGCCACCCTGGTCCTGGCTACTGGTCCTGGCACTTCCTGGTCCTCGGTTCCTCCTGGTCCCGCCTGCAGCCCTGGTCCCCACCTGGCTCAGCTCCGTCTCCGTCCTGGCCTCAGAGGCCCCCCGCTCCGGGGGCTCCGTCCTCCCCTCCAGCCGGGAGGTCCCGCGGGGGAGGCTATGGCTTCAGACTCCCGGCAGCCCTGTCACTCGTGTTCACACAGGGAAGGGGTGCGTGTGGCAGAAGCAGCTGTATAGATGGGGGCGGGCGAGTCCTCGGGGTCACTTGGACAGCTTGCTGATGACGCGGATCAGGGCTGCGTTCTCGTCCTTGAGGCGCTGGTTGTCCGCGCGGAGGTCGGACAGGCCCTGTGGGGGGGATGGGGGAGGTTGGACAGGCCCTGTGGGGAGGGATGGGGAGGTCGGACAGGCCCTGTGGGGGGGGATGGGGAGGTCGGACAGGCCCTGTGGGGGGGATGGGGGAGGTCGGACAGGCCCTGTGGGGGGGATGGGAGAGGTCGGACAGGCCCTGTGGGAGGGATGGGGAGGTCGGACAGGCCCTGTGGGAGGGATGGGGGAGGTCGGACAGGCCCTGTGGGGGGGATGGGGGAGGTCGGACAGGCCCTGTGGGGGGGATGGGGGAGGTCGGACAGGCCCTGTGGGGGGGATGGGGAGGTTGGGCAGGCCCTGTGGGGGGGGATGGGGGAGGTTGGACAGGCCCTGTGGGGGGGATGGGGAGGTCGGACAGGCCCTGTAGGGGGGGATGGGGGAGGTCGGACAGGCCCTGTGGGGGGGATGGGGAGGTTGGACAGGCCCTGTGGGGGGGATGGGGGAGGTTGGACAGGCCCTGTGGGGGGGATGGGGAGGTTGGACAGGCCCTGTGGGGGGGATGGGGAGGTTGGACAGGCCCTGTGGGGGGGATGGGGAGGTTGGGCAGGTCTGTGGGGGGGATGGGGGAGGTTGGGCAGGTCTGTGGGGGGGATGGGGGAGGTTGGGCAGGTCTGTGGGGGGGATGGGGGAGGTTGGGCAGGCCCTGTGGGGGGGATGGGGGAGGTCGGACAGACCCTGTGGGGGGGATGGTCGGACAGGCCCTGTGGGGGGGATGGGTCAGCTGGACGCCCGGGCGGCGAGCACCGGCCCCCCTCGCCCCGTGAGCATTCACCTTCAGCTCCTCCTCCAGCTCCGCGGCCTTGCGCTCCAGCGCCCTGCGCTCCTGCAACAGACGGGGAAGGGGGAGATAGAGGGTGAGGGTAAGGGGGGGGGGCAAGTGGCCTGGGGAGGGCCAGAGGGAGGGGGGAAGGTCAGAGGGCGGGTTAGAGGGTCCCTGTGCCCCCTCCACAGACCTCCGAAGGCTGGAATTGGGGACAAGGCCTGACCCCGCCCCGGCTGCCCCACTCACGAATCTCTCCAGCTCCAGGAGGGCCGGCCTCTCTGCAAAGCGCTCCTGCCGCTGGTGGGGGCAGGGAAAGCGCAGGGGTCAGAGCAACGTCCACACCGCAATGGCCGGGAACGGGGAACCAGCGGGAGCGGAAAGGCAGGCCAGGATCCTCTGCTCATCGCAAGCCGCGCCCCTTATTGACCAGGCCCCGCCCCCAGGGTCCTGGCCCCGCCCCCCGAAGGCAGATTCTGCTCAGACTCCGCCCACCCGGCTCACAGGGATGCCAGGTCACGGCAGGGCCCGGGCGCCTCACCTGCGTGGCGCGCTCCAGCTCCACCTTGAACTGCGCCAGCCGCAGCGTGGTCTCCGTCAGCGCCTCACGGAGCCGCTCATTTTCCACCCGCAGCTCCGCGTAAAGCTGGGTAAGGGAGAGAGGGACATGGGGGGGTGAGGGACATGGGGGGGTGAGGGACATGGGGAGAGGGACATGGGGGGGAGAGGGACATGGGGGGAGAGGGACATGGGGAGAGGGACATGGGGGGGTGAGGGACATGGGGAGAGGGACATGGGGGGGAGAGGGACATGGGGGGAGAGGGACATGGGGAGAGGGACATGGGGGGGTGAGGGACATGGGGGGGAGAGGGACATGGGGGGGAGAGGGACATGGGGGGGTGAGGGACATGGGGGGGTGAGGGACATGGGGGGGAGAGGGACATGGGGGGAGAGGGACATGGGGGGGAGAAGGGCATGGGGGGGAGAGGGACATGGGGGGAGGGACATGGGGGGGTGAGGGACATGGGGGGGAGAGGGACATGGGGGGGAGAGGGACATGGGGGGGTGAGGGACATGGGGGGGAGAGGGACATGGGGGGGAGAGGGACATGGGGGGGTGAGGGACATGGGGGGGTGAGGGACATGGGGGGGAGAGGGACATGGGGGGAGAGGGACATGGGGGGGAGAAGGGCATGGGGGGGAGAGGGACATGGGGGGAGGGACATGGAGGAGAGAGGGACATGGGGGGGAGAGAGCATGGGGGGGGAGGGACATGGGGGGAGAGAGCATGGGGGGGAGAGGGACATGGGGGGGAGAGAGCATGGAGGAGAGAGGGACATGGGGGGGAAGAGGGACATGGGGGGAGAGGGACATGGGGGAGAGGGACATGGGGGGAGAGGGACATGGGGGAGAGGGACATGGGGGGGTGAGGGACATGGGGGGAGAGGGACATGGGGGGAGGGGAGACATGGGGGGGAGGGACATGGGGGGGAGGGACATGGGTCAGGCCCGAGCTGCGCGCTGGCCCGCGGGCTCACTGTGCACAGGTGAGGGCAGGTGAGAAGAGAACGTGGGCGTGGGCAGCGGCCCTGACGGGCAGAGGGCAGCTGCGGGGTTCGCCCACCTTCCTGAAGCCGCCGTCCGGCTCCTGCGATCCGGGCTGCGGCTCCGGGTTGAGGGCCCGCTGCCTCCGGGGGGCAGGGCCGGCCTTGGGAGAGCTGGCGGAGGCAAAGCAGGTGTCAGGGCGCGGCCATCGGGCAGCCGGCCCGGCCCTGCCCTGCCCTGCCCTGCCCGGCCCGGCCCACTCTGTACCTGGATTCCGGGCTGATGGCCGAGGGCTTCGCCTCCTCCCCCTGAGGGCGGGCGGGGTCAGTGGGTGCTCAAAGGGGGTGTGCCCCTGCTCCCCCCCCACCCCGCCAAGGCCCGCCCTCACCTCCGCCCTCACCTCCCCCCTCACCTCCGCCCGGGACCCCTCACCTCCCCCTCACCTCCGCCCTCACCTCCCCCCTCACCTCCGCCCTCACCTCCACCCTCACCCCCGCCCAGGACCCTTCACCTCCCCCTCACCTCCCCCCTCACCTCCGCCCTCACCTCCCCCCTCACCCCCGCCCAGGACCCCTCACCTCCCCCTCACCTCCCCCCTCACCTCCCCCCTCACCTCCGCCCAGGACCCCTCACCTCCGCCCTCACCTCCCCCCTCACCTCCCCCCTCACCTCCCCCCTCACCTCCGCCCGGGACCCCTCACCTCCGCCCTCACCTCCACCCTCACCTCCCCCCTCACCTCCCCCCTCACCTCCGCCCAGGACCCCTCACCTCCCCCTCACCTACGCCCTCACCTCCCCCCTCACCTCCGCCCTCACCTCCACCCTCACCTCCACCCTCACCTCCACCCTCACCCCCGCCCAGGACCCCTCACCTCCCCCTCACCTCCCCCCTCACCTCCGCCCTCACCTCCCCCCTCACCTCCGCCTGGGCCCCCTCACCTCCGCCCGGGCCCCTCACCTCCCCCTCACCTCCCCCCTCACCTCCGCCCTCACCTCCGCCCTCACCTCCCCCCTCACCTCCGCCCGGGCCCCTCACCTCCCCCCTCACCTCCGCCCGGCCCCCTCACCTCCCCCCTCACCTCCGCCCGGGCCCCTCACCTCCCCCTCACCTCCGCCAGGGCCCCCTCACCTCCGCCCGGCCCCCTCACCTCTGCAGGCCCTCTCCTCTCCCTGCCAGCTCTGCGGAGCTCCCGGGAGGCCTGGGGTCCGGGTCCCTGCCCGTCGGGCGCGTCTACTGGGGGAGGGGCAAGAGTGAGGACTCCTCTGTGCTGTCAGGGTCCCGGGCCCGAGCCTCCAGGCGCGCGGCAGACTGCAGCGGGGGGACGGGCGGCTCCGGAGACGGCCTCCCAGAGGCCAGGCCTCACCTCTCTGGGCGGGGCCGTCGGGGTTCTCAGCCCCGGGGACGCGGGGCTGCCGGGAAGGGTCCTGTGGGAGAGGGAGGGGTCAGAGGACCAGGGCTGCGGGACCACCCCGAGCCCCGTCACCTGACCCCGCGGCCTCTCACCAGGCTCTGTGGGCATGACTTCTCGGGCTCCGGGGCCTTCCCCGCCACCTTCTCTGCCTCCTTCAGGTCTGTCAGAGTCACGCCCTGCAGGCACAGGGGGCGGTCAGGGCCTCCTCCCGCAGACCAGGAGACCCCCAGCCTCCTCCCTCAGACCCAGGAGCCCAGGCCCCCAGCCTCCTCCCTCAGACCCAGGAGCCCAGGCCCCCAGCCCCTCCTCCCTCAGACCCAGGAGTCCAGGCCCCCAGCCCCTCCTCCCTCAGACCCAGGAGCCCAGGCCCCCAGCCCTCCTACCTCAGACCCAGGAGCCCAGGCCCCCAGCCCTCCTCCCTCAGACCCAGGAGCCCAGGCCCCCAGCCTCCTCCCTCAGACCCAGGAGCCCAGGCCCCCAGCCCCTCCCTCAGACCCAGGAGCCCAGGCCCCCTCCTCCTCCCTCAGACCCAGGCCCCCAGCCTCCTCCCTCAGACCCAGGAGCCCAGGCCCCCAGCCTCCTCCCTCAGACCCAGGAGCCCAGGCCCCAGCCTCCTCCCTCAGACCCAGGAGCCCAGGCCCCAGCCTCCGCCCTCAGACCTGTGTCCAGGCCCCGCCCGCCCCCACACCTGTGTGGACCTCCGGGACTGGCGCATGAGGCGAGAGCGAGCTTTGCGCTGGGACTCTGACTCCTCGTCCCGCACTGGCATCTGGTAGGACCTGCGTGAAGAGCCCGGACCTCAGGGAGGCTTCCTCTGGGGCCTGTCCGGGGCTGACCCCCGGGGAGACCACTGCGGGCCTCTCTTACCTCCGGCGGTCCCGCGTGTCCGCTGGGGGCGCTGTGGAGGCGGCAGGGGCAGCTGGCTTCCCTGGGGATTCAGGCTGCGGGGTCCTGGGGGAGGGTGGAGTCATGAGGGAGGAGGCCTGGCGCTCTCACGCCCGCACACCCTGTGAATTCACTCGTTCAGCAAACGTCACTCAAGCTCGCCTCCGATGGCAGCGCCCGCCACACGGCAGTGAGCAAGAGCACAAGTGACTGCCCCGTGAGCCAAGCTGCGCAGAAAGGACGCGAGCTCACAGCCCCCACGAGGAGTCAGTCCATCTCAGCGCCCGCGGGAGGGCAGCACGTGGCAGAGGACAGCCAGCCAGGTCGGGAGGCGAGGGCCTGGGGGTCTGAGCTCTGCAGCCATGAGAGCCGTGGCCACCATGGGCCTCCCGGGGAAGGTGACGGGACGCAGACCGAGCAGAGGTCCCGGGGCAGGAGGGGGTGGGCAGAGGGACAGGTAGGCGAGGCCGCAGGAGGCCGGGTGCCCTGGCTGACATATTTCACCGTGAGCTTGTACTCGGTGCAGCAAAGGGAACAGGCAGAGCGGGGGGAGCAGGGACCAGCCTGCCCAGCGCAGCCCGTGCCCGGGGTCCCCGCAGCGGGGCCCGGGCCCCGGGTACTCACGGGGCAGAGGGCTCTGGCACCTTCCGGGAGGGAGTGGGGGTGATTCTGGCCAGCCGGGGCTCCTTGGCCTGCGGAGAGAGGGAAGGAGGGGGTGCTCTCTCCGGCAGCCTTGCCTGGCGGGGCCCGGCGCCGGCCTCTCGCCGCACTCACCTGAGTGGCGGTCCGGGTCCCTTCCACCAGCGAGGAGGACGCCGAGCGCTGCAGCCCGGCGCCGGGGGCACCCTGCGCCCCCTGCCTGTCCGCCGGGCCCAGGGCACCTGAGCTCCCCGTCTTCTGGAGGCCGAAGCGCCTGGAGAAGGGGGCCTCCTCGGAGGTCTGGGGTCAGAGAAAGGGCTCAGCGATGGAGAAGGGGTCCCTCTTCCCATACATTTCAAGGGGTACCCCCAGAAGGACCACAGCAAACTACAATTCCCATCAGCCCCCCGGAGCAGGTGCAACCAGAAAAAGATCGCCGGCTGTACTGGAGGATTCTGGGAACTGTAGTCTTCACTCTGTCGACCCAGACAAGGGATGGGCACAGGGTTCATGGGCGCCCCCCGCCCCACCCCCCACCGTCTGCATGCAGGGCCTGCACTCACCGAGGGGCCTTTCGGGCTGGGGGGTGGCGGGGAGGACACGCCATTGAGGGTTCTGGCTTCTGCAGGGGGCGGCTCTGCTGGGTAAGACAATGAGATCTCAGTGAGAATGTGCCAGCAGCACCGGCCAGTGTGGCTCAATGGTTGAGCATCGATCGACCCATGAACCAAAAGGTCACCAGTTTGATCCCAGGTTGTGGGCTCGATCCCTCCCCATCGCAGGATGTGAGCAGGAGGCAGACAATCAATGCTTCACTCTCACATCGATGTTTCCTTCCCTCTCTCCCGCTCCCTTCTACCCGCTTTAAAATCAACAAACACATTTTTTAAAAATATTTTTTATTGATTTTTTTACAGAGAGGAAGAGAGAGGGATAGAGAGTTAGAAACATTGATGAGAGAGAATCATTGATCAGATGCCTCTTGCACACCCCCTACTAGGGATGTGCCCCCAACCAAGGTACATGTCCTTGACCGGAATCGAACCTGGGACCTTTCGGTCTGCAGGCCGATGCTCTATCCACTGAGCAAAACCAGTTTCCGCAACAAAAACATTTTAAAAATAAAAATAAAGAATCTGCTCCCTCCGACCCAGGAGCCCAGACCCCCAGCCCTCCTCCCTCAGACCCAGGAGCCCAGGCCCCAGCCCTCCTCCCTCAGACCCAGGAGCCCAGGCCCCTGACCCCCCAAATCAACCCAGGAGCCCAGGCCCCAGCCCTCCTCCCTCAGACCCAGGAGTCCAGGCCCCAGCCCTCCTCCCTCAGACCCAGGAGCCCAGGCCCCAGCCCTCCTCCCTCAGACCCAGGAGCCCAGGCCCCCAGCCTCCTCCCTCAGACCCAGGAGCCCAGGCCCCAGAGGCTCACCTGTGGGGCCTTCCTCTTTCTCGTCGTCCTCATCCCGGATGGGGGGCCCCCCGGCGCCCCCCGGCCGCCGCTCCTTGGACAGGTCCTGGAGGGAGATCTTCTCCCGGCTGCTCAGGCGGCACACGGAGCTCCTGGCGGGAGGGAGGGGTCAGGGGCCGGCCCGGGCGCCTCCAGCCCTGCCCGGGAGACCCCGTACCTTCGGTGTTTGCTGCTGGCGGGCGGCTGGGGCTCCGGGACCCGGCTCTGGGAGGCCGCCTTCTGGCTCCGCAGCTGCAGGGAGAGGGGCTGCTGGGAGGGGCAGACGTGGGGGTCCGCCTGGGTCCCACAAACCCAACACAGACGGCCGCCCGCACAGCTGCGGTCACGCCTTCCCAGGTGCCCCACACAACCCTCCCTGCGCCCTTCTCATGCCCTCCCCTGGGGCTCCCCTGGGGCTCAGTGACCAGAGGGAATGAGCACTGCCTGGGGAGTCAGGGCCAGAGCCCCCTCCCCGAACGGGGGGACGCTGCGAACCCCACATGCAGCCGCGGAGGCCTGAGGGAGGGGGCGGCGGGAGGGGGCGGCGGGAGGGGGGGTGAGGGAGGGGGCGGCGGGAGGGGGCGGCGGAAGGGGGTGTGGGAGAGGGTGCGGAGGGGGTGGCGGGAGGGGGGTGAGGGAGGGGGTGGCGGGAGGGGGGTAAGGGAGGGGGGCGGTGGAAGGGGGCGGCGGGAGGGGGCGGCGGGAGGGGGGTAGCGGGAGGGGGGTAAGGGAGGCGGTGGCGGGAGGTTGGTGGCGGAAGGGGGCGGCGGGAGAGGGTGAGGGAGGGGGGGTGAGGGAGGGGGCGGCGGGAGGGGGGTGGCGGGAGGGGAGTAAGGGAGGGGGTGGCGGGAGGGGGTGAGGGAGGGGGGGTGAGGGAGGGGGATGCGGGAGGGGGGTGGCGGGAGGGGGGTGAGGGAGGGAGATGCGGGAGGGGGTGGCGGGAGGGGGGTAAGGGAGGGGGCGGCGGGAGAGGGGTGAGGGAGGGGGTGGCGGGAGGGGGCGGCGGGAGGGGGCGGCGGAAGGGGGTGTGGGAGAGGGTGCGGAGGGGGTGGCGGGAGGGGGTGCGGGAGGGGGATGCGGGAGGGGGGTGGCGGGAGGGGGGTGAGGGAGGGGGTGGCGGGAGGTTGGTGGCGGGAGGGGGCGGCGGGAGGGGCGGTTCTCACGTCCTCCTGCTTCCGGGCCAGCTCCTCCAGCAGGCTCAGCACCTCCTCGTCCGCCAGGTCGCAGGGCCGCTGCCCCTGGAGGAGGGGAGGGGGCAGATGAAGGTGCGGGGGCTCCTCACCCCCCCCAGTCCCAGAGGGGGCTGGGCCTCACCGCGTGGGTCAGCGAGTCCATGCCCCCGCCGTGCTCCGCCAGCAGGCGGCAGGCGTCCTCCACGCCCCAGTGGGCCGCCGCGTGCAGGGGCGTCCAGCCGTCCCCGTCCCGGAGCTCGGGGTCATAGCCGGCCTGGAGGAGCAGCCTGGGGGTCAGAGGGCTGGGGTCAGAGGGCTGGGGTCAGAGGGCGGGGGTCAGAGGGGTCAAGGTCAGAGGGCTGGGGTCAGAGGGCTGGGGTCAGAGGGGTCAAGGTCAGAGGGCTGGGGGTCAGAGGGGCTGGGCTGGGGGTCAGAGGGCTGGGGGTCAGAGGGGTTAAGGTCAGAGGGCTGGGGGTCAGGGGACTGGGGGTCAGGGGGCTGGGGGTCAGAGGGGCTGGGCTGGGGGTCAGAGGGCTGGGGGTCAGAGGGGTCAAGGTCAGGGGGCTGGGGGTCAGGGGGCTGGGGGTCAGAGGGCTGGGGGTCAGGGGCTCAGGGTCAAAGACCGGGACAAAGGCTGTGGAGGCAGCACCAGCTGGGACAGGCTGACAGCATCCCGGACCAGGTACAAGCCCAGTGTCCCCAGCCCCTCCCACAAGTGACCCCTCTGCCAGCAGCCCCGACCTCTGTCCCTACAGCTGGGGGCGGGGCAGCTGGCGGGCCTGGAGCCACTCTGGCTGCCGCACTGAGGGCCGGGGGCCGGGGTGCTGCTGACCCCAGCGCGGAGGGCGGCCGTGGCAGAGGATGACCCGCTGCGACATGGACAGGACCGAGTGAGTGGCAGGAAGGGAGTGTGCCCCACGCAACCGAGCCTCGAAATACGTAACGGAAACGGATGGAGCCCCGGGAGGGACGCACGAAATCCACAGCGCGGTGTCTCATCGCACCTCTTAAGTAACTGCCACAATGGGCAGGAGGAGAAATAAACCACCGAGGACACAGATTTAAATGGCACGCCTACGGAGCTGACCTAATAACCTACACGCATCACTGCCTGACAGCGCAATTCTTCCCCGCCTCTCTTACCCCGGAGAATAAAATAAAGCAAACCTTCAACAAATTCAAGAGATCCGAACCATACGGAACCCCGTTCTCTGACCGCAGTGCAATTAAAACCAGGACATGGGTAACGAAACAAAATTCCATGTTCTCGGAAATGAAGAACATGCTTCTAAAGAACCAATGTGTCCACGAATAAAAATTTACGTGTTGGAAGACGTTTTAAACGGGATGGTGATGAAAGGTCTATACATCGAGGCAGGCGTATGGGTGCAGCTAAGGCTGTATTTAGAGGCAAACACGTAGCCTTCAGTACATAAATTAAGAAAAAGCGGCAAGGGACGAAATTCACAGGAAGGTATAAGGCAACGAGAAGGAACAGAGGGGGCCCACAGAAAGAGCAGGGGAAAGGGGGGGGGGGAGGGGTCCCTGCTCACCTCATCACCTCGATGTAGCCCTTAGCAGCCGCCACGTGCAGCGCCGAGGCCCCCGTGCGGGGGTGCCGGGCCTCGGGCATGGCGCCTCCGTTCAGCCAGCACCTGGTGTCGTGAAGGAGCAGTTCCTCCTCGGCTCGCTTGGCTGCCTCCACGTCCACACCTGGAGGGCAGGAAGGGGTGGCGGGTGGGACTCACCCCAAAGTCTAGGAAGCACAGCTCACCCTGTGCCTTCCCTGTCCCTCTCCGTCTGTGTGCTCCTCTGGGACTCAGAGGCCCCGGGCCAGCTCACCCACTTCCCTATCACGTTCTGTGTGGCCCGGCGTGCCCCTAAGCGTCTCTGAGTCCCTGCGGGGGGGACGCTGGGAGAATGGAAATCACAAGCATTTTCCCACTTCAACCCAAGAATCCCCTTGATCGCCCTTTAAAAAAAAAAAAAAAAATTTGCCGAAACCAGTTTGGCTCAGTGGATAGAGCGTCGGTCTGCAAACTGAAAGGTCCCAGGTTCGATTCCGGTCAAGGGCATGTACATTGGTTGCGGGCACATCCCCAGTAGGGGGTGTGCAGGAGGCAGCTGGCCGATGATTCTCTCTCATCAATGTTTCTAAACTATATCTATCCCTCTCCCTTCTTCTCTGTAAAAAAAATCAATAAAAATATATTTAAAAATTTCTTATTGATTTTAGAGAAGGGGGATGGAGAGAGAGATAGAAACATCAATGATGAGAGAAAATCACTGATGGACTGCCTCCTGCCGCCCCCCACTGGGGACCGAGCAAACAACCCCAGGCATGTGCCCTTGGACAGAATCGAACCCGGGACCCTTCAGTCCACAGGCTGACACTCTATCCTCTGAGCCAAAATGGCTAGGGCTTGCTCATTCTTTTTAAGGATAGCACCTAAGGCGAAACCGTTTTGGCTCAGTGGATGATAGACCATTGGCCTGCGGACTGAAGGGTCCCAGGATCAATTCCAGTCAGGGGCATGTACCTTGATTGCGGGCACATCCCCAGTGGGCGGCATGCAGGAGGCAGCTGAATGATGTTTCTCTCTCAATGATGTTTCTAACTCTCTATCCCTCTCCCTTCCTCTCCGTAAAAAAATCAATAAAAAATATATATTTTTAAAAAATTATGAAACTTAATTACCTGTTGCATTTTACTTTTACATTTTTAAATATACTTTTGTTGATTTTCAGAGAGGATGGGAGAGGGAGACAAACATCAACGGGAGAGACACACGGATGAGCTGCCGCCTGCAGCCTCCTGTCGGGGCCCGGCCCCCAGCTGGGCAGCCTGCCTGACGGGGAATGGATCAGTGATCTTTCGGTGCACATCGAAGCCCCGAGCCACCGCCAGGCCTCTCTGACCTCCTGGAAATGCACCTCCAGGGGATGTGCAATGCTCGTGCTCACACCGGCTTTCCCATGGACACAGCGGCCAAGGACCCCCACGCATCGCCACCGGCTCAAAGTCAGAACGGCAGTCACCCCACTCCCCGTGCCCCGAGGGGACAGCCACCCTGGTTAGCTGCCTACACACACAGCACACCGACCCCACCGCCCCGGCTGAGGGCGAGCCACCGGAGCCCGGGCTCCCCGCTGGCGCCACCTGGTGGCACCTGGGCCTCACGCCAACGGGACACCTTGGGCGGCCCAGCTGCCAGGGACAGGGCTGCTATTCCAGGAATGTGTCTGCTCCATCAGGCCATCTCCAGGCGGGCGGGCGATCTGGGTGGAGGCTGAGCATGCTGGTATCTGGGCGCCCGCCCTCTCCCTCTCCCTCACCCTCGGCCACTTCCTTACAGGGAAACCCCCCCGCCCAGTGCCAGGCTGCGGGGTGCCAGGCTGCGGGGTGCCAGGCTGCAGAGGCAGGGGCCGCGCTTACTGCTAGCAGCCTCCAAGAACTGCGTTCCTTCACATGTTCCTGCCATCCCTCCTTTTCCTGGAGACCTGCCTGTGTGTGTTGACAGGCAGCAGCCCGGGGGGGGGGGGGGGCGCGGGGGGACAGGCCACTGGGTTTTTTTAAGTGTTTTGCCGCACCCCCAGTGCCAGTGGCTCCCTGTGCCCCTTCCCAGCCCCTGCGCCCACCCGTCTACTTCCTGTCGCTGTGGACCTGCCTGTCGGTAAATAAAGTTTTATCGGGACACAGCCAGGCTCACACCCTCACTCCTGTGCCTTCCCCGCTGTGGCGGCTGCACCACGTCCAAACTGGGCGCCATCCCCGCCTCCCAGCCCGGAACTCCCTCACATCTTCTCTAAGTGTTTTTAAAATATGTATATATTTTTTTATTGATTTCTGAAGGAATAGAGAGGGGGAAAGAGAAACATCAATGAGAGAGAAAATCACGGGTCGGCTGCCTCCTGCACGCCCCACACTGGGGAGCGAGCCCACAACCCGGGCCTGTGCCCTGACCGGGAATCGGACTGTGACCTCGTGGGTCACACACAACTGCTGAGGCACGCCGGCCGGCCAAACATGTTTTTTAAAATGGATTTTCGAGCCGAAACCGGTTTGGCTCAGTGGTAGAGCGTCGGTCTGCGGACGGAAAGGTCCCAGGTTCAGTTCCAGTCAGGGGCATGTACGTTGGTTGCGGGCACATCCCCGGTAGGGGGTGTGCAAAGGACAGCTGGTCGATGTTTCTCTCTCATTGACGTTTCTAGCTCTCTATCTCTCTCCCTTCCTCTCTGTAAAAAATCAATAAAATATATATTTTTTTAAAAAATTGATTTAAAAATTGAGAGAGAGCAAAACATCAATGTGAGAGCGGAACATCAACCGGCTGCCTCCTGCACGATTCGCACTGGGGACGGAGCCCACACCCCGGGCCTGTGCCCGGACCGGGAGCCGAACCCGCGACCTCTCGGTGCGAAGGATGACACTGAACTGACCGAGCCAGGCGGGCCGGGCCCAGAACCCTCTGCAGCGGACAACACGGACACCGTCCCCATCAAACAACAGCTCCCCCTGCGGTCACCACCCTGCCGTCTGTCTGGGCGTCCGTCTTCCCGGTGCGTCACGGACACGGACCCACACCTTGTGCTCCTGTGACGGCTCACAGCACTCAGCGGCTGTCCCTGAGGGTCGCCCTCGGGGTCGTGTGTGTGTGTGTGTTTGTGTGTTGTGTTTGTGTGTGTTGTGTGTGTGTCATGTGTTTGTGTGTCATGTGTGTTGTGTGTGTGTTGTGTCTGTGTGTGTGGGTGTGTGTATGTGTGTGTGTGAGGATTTCGTTCCTTCTCAGGCTGTACGACATCCCGTACGGCCCGGCCACGCGCCTGTGGATGGACACGGCGTGCCCGCCTGCCAGTGGCCGTGAGTACCGTGCTGGGAACATGGGTGCGCAAACCCCTGGGCTGAGCCAGCTGCACGGCGTCTGGCCCTCGCCCTCGCCCACCGCCCTGCGCACCGTTTCTGATGGCAACAGCCCAGAGGCTGGGCGCCGGGCGGGACCTGTGCTCCGGACCGGGCAGCGGACAGACCTAGTGACCAGCAGCCACAAGAGAGGCAGAGGCAGT